GCTTGATGTGGGATGTCCTTTTGTATATGTGTTGTTTTTATCAGTTAATGAATAAAGCTACTTTGGTCAGTGACTTAGCAGATTAAAGACAGGAAGGCAACATATTGATTAAGAGCAATTGGTTAATTTGAGATGTAAGACCTAGCTAGGAATATTCCTTGACCAAACAGTGTTGTAATTAATATAGTTTCTGTGTGGTGATTTTGGTTTGGGTGGCTGGGAAATGACAGCGTAAGCACTCTCTACATATGACAACCAATGGTCAGTAATGTACATCCATATAAAGCCTAAGAAAGCTTTTAAAAGGGCTTTGAGACACACAAAAATGTGAGACAATTGCACATTTTGGTAGCTGCATATTTTCACATATGTTTTGTTTGCTGGTGGAAAGAAGAGACATGGCTCCTTTAAGAGGTTTCCTGACTCAGCCTTAGCAGCAAACACTGATGAGCTCCTTTAAGAAACAGCTTCCTGGTTCATGCTGGTAGTATGAATAGCTCTGGCTCTTTCAGGAGGTCTTGCTATAGAGCATTAAAATGGGGTTTACAAGTTGCTTACTGTTGATATAGACCCTAGAGCTGGGGCTATGAGCATGGACATGCCTCTACCATATTAGATGGGGCAGAGCCAACAACTAAAACTGCAGTTAGTCATAGGCTTAGCATTTTAAAAAGCACTCCTGGTCAAAAAGGATTACAGATCCACAATAATGACAGATTTAGAAAACTAAATGCTTCTAAATAGGCCACAGTACGTTTGATACATATGCATGGGCTTAGGACAGAGAGGATAAAAGATGGATAGAGTCACAGATAAAAAGAATAATTTAAGTATGTTAAACTGAAGTTCTTAAAAGAAAAAACAGAATGAAAGATCATAATATGCCATGAAAAGACAAAAAATGCACGAAGAATCTGGATTATGTATATTATTGTGTTTTCCTTGAATTTTCGATAGCAAAGAGACATTTGATTCTGGAGGCTGATAAGCTAAATCAACACACATTTGAAAGGTATCTTGACTTCAAAATTTGAGTCTAAAAATATGTTACTTTGGAAAAGAGGTTCTGCTTTTGTTTCCACAGAGGATGGAAACCTGTGAATTCCTTCCAGGCTAATATGGTTTGATGGAACAATGATGTGGGATTCCCCTCTGTATGCTGTGAATATGTTTTACTAACAATGGTTAATAAAAGAAGCTGTTTCACCCTATAGAAAGGAAGAATATAGCCAGGCTAGAAAACATATATAATATATTATATATCATTTATATATAAGATAGACTCATATCTTTACACTCACAAAGATATAAGAAATGAGAATAGGCTGAGTCATTGGGAGATGCCATGTAACCACTGATAGAGCCGCTAGAAGTTTGCCAGTAGGCCTGACCTCTTGGAAAAATATAAAATCATGGAAATGGGTTAACTTAAGATGTAAGAGCCAGCTAGAAATATGCTTACGCTATTGGCCAAACATTATTGCAATTAATACAGCTTCTGCATGGTTAGTTCTGGTCTGGGAAACTGGGAAAGAATGAGCAGTCTCCACCTATAAAACAAGATCCCCTGAAAAGTCTCTATGAACCCTACAAATACTTTGTCCAACAAAAAGCAAGAAGCTGTTGGGAGAAAACTACACCTAGTTCCCAAAATGATTGTTTATAAATATTTTTTCTCATTTAAAAGGGGCTGAGTATAAAACATTAATAGTCAATCACTTTCTATGAAAAAAATTGGTGGGGGAATATGCTATGGAATTTAATACTTTACATTGGTATGGATTTTGGTTTATTGATACAAATTAAAAATCAATTTTGTTATTATACACACACACACACACACACTACACATATATTTTTTGGGGCAAAGAATTTGTAGGGTTCACAAAGACCTTTAAGGGATTCTTATTCTATAGTAGAGACTGTCATTCATTCCCAGTACAGTGTGTATGTATATTGTATGTGTAACAAAATTGTAATTATATATATATGCATATATATATTTGCATACATACACTCACACACGCACACAGACAAAAGATTTTTTTATAAAGAAATCAGAAATACACACTGGAAAAAAGGCAGCATCTTCAACAAATGATGCTGGTCAAACTGGATGTTAATATGTAGAAGAATCCAGATGGATCTTTATTTATCACCCTGCACAAATCTCAAGTCTAAGTGGATCAAAGACCTCAGCATAAAACCAGATACACTAAATCTGATAGAAGAGAAAGTAGGGAATAACCTTGATTGCATTGGCACAGGAGACAACTTTCTGAACAGAAAACCAGTAGCATAGGCACTAACATCATCCATAAAGTTTCTATATAGTAATAGAAAGTATATCTCAAAATGGCAGCCTACAGAATAAGAAGGATTTTTTTTTACCCCTTCCTCCATAGACAATAGAGGACTAATATCCAGACTATATAAAGAATTCAAGATACTAGATATCAAAAAATACCCAAATAATCCAGTTATAAATGTGGTACAGATCTAAACAGAGATTTCACAATAGAAGAATTGCAAATGAGTGAGAAACATTTAAGGAAGTGTTCAACATTTTTAGTTGTCAGGGGAATGCAAATCAAAACTAGTTTGAGATTCTATCTTGCACTTATGTGAGTAGCTAAGATCTATGATAATACAAGTGATAGCTCATATTGATGAGGATGTGGAACAAGGGGAGCACTCATTCATTTCTGGAGTACAAACTTGTACAGCCACTGTGGAAATTAATATGGCAGTTACTCAGGAAATTAGGAATCAATCTAACTCAAGACCCAGCTATAACACTCTTGGGCATATGTCCAAAGGAAACTCCATTTTACCACAAGGACATTTGTTCAACCATGTTCATAGATAGCTTTATTCATAATAATAGTTCACAATATTATTTTACTTATAATAATTGGAAACTCAAAACAACCTAGATGCTCCTCAATAGAAGAATGGATAAAGAAACTATGATACATTTACACAATGAAGTATTACTCAGTTAATAACAGTTAAAAAACTGACATCATGAAATTTTCAGGCAAATGGATGGAACTAAAAAAAAATCATCCTGAGTGAGGTAACCCAGATCCAGGAAGGCAATACAGCATGTACTAACTTATAAGTGGATATTACTTGTTAAGTAAATGATAAGCAGGCTAAAATCTGTAGACACAGAGAAGTTAATCAAAGAGGAAGGGTCTACGCACCCATGGATCTTTCTGGGAATGGGAAATATAATAGATTTTACATGTGGACTGCAGACAGTTGGGAACTGGAGCAGGAAGGATCAGGTGGGAATAGGGGGAGATAGGAATGAAGGAAAGAGTGCAGGGAAAGACAACTAGAATTTGGGGCATTTAGTAGAATGTAGAAACCTAGTGTAGTGGAAACTTCTTGGATCTATGGTGATCCTAATGAGGACTCCTAGTAATGGGAGATGTGGAGCATCATCTGGCCATCTCTTATAGTCAGACAAGACTTCCAGTTGCAGGTTGTGGTTACATTCAGTTTAAGTTGTTGACCAAGAGGGGTTCCATCAAAATCCACTAATATCCCAGGTTGATGTTAAGAAAAAGGGTGGTTCTCTGCAAACTGACAGTGGGGCCACATTGCCAAGGACAGCATCCAATCAACTCATTATGTCAAACTGGTGACAACTTGGAGCCTTCATTCCTATGTTCTAGTCTCTTTGGTATGGGAATGTATTCTGCACATTAGCAAAAAAGAAACATGAACACCAACCCAACGACAAAAATCTTTAACCTCACTACGTCCAGCATGTAAAATTTGCTAAGGCAATGATGTCACAAATTTGAGGGAGTAACTAGCAAATGCCTTATTTGACTTAAGGTCCACACTATGAGAAGGAACTCATAACCAATACTGCCTGGATAACTAAGAGCTAGATAGCTCAAGGAATTTGAGTCAAAGCCAAACACAACAGTCAAAACAACAATAAACAAAAAAAACCCAAAATGATTCCTAATGATATTCTGCTACACTCATAGATCAGAGCCTTACCTAGCATCGTCAGAAAGACTTTCCTCAGCAACAGAGGAGAAATAGAGTCTTACCACTCAATACTATGTGAAAAAAATCTAAATTGGAAATCTCTACCAAATCCCCTCAAAGCATAGTAAAATCCTATGGAAGAGATGGCAGAAAAAATGTGAGAGCCAGAGGGGATGGAGAATACCAGGAGAACACAGTCCTCTGTATCAACTACACAAGGCACAATATAAAGTCACAGAGACTGAGATCACCAGTTCAGGGCCTACATAGGTCTTCACCAGGTCTTCTGTGTATATACTATAGCTTCCTTTTTAATATTTTTATGGGACTGCTGACCATGAAAATAAATGGGTCTCTGATTCTCTTGTCTGCTCTTAGGACTCTTTCCCATCTGTTTGGTTTTCATGTTCAATCTTACTATGAAAGTTTTTGCTTCATCTTATTATATTTTATTTTTTTAGCTTTGAATGTTATCTCTTTGAAGCCTGGTATTTCTTAATGAGAGACAGAAAGGAAGTGGGTCTGAAGATCAGGGGAGAAGAGGAGGAGCTGGGATGAGTAGAGGGAAAGGAAACTTTAATCAGAATATATTACAGGAAAAAAGTATATGTTTTCAATAATAAAAAGAAGAGACAACTTTGCTGTCAACCCTTTAGGTATATTATCTATGTTAACAAATTGTGAGTCAAAATAGGTTTTCAGGCCTGGAAGTGTGGTGAGATCATGTTCTCCACAGTTGGACTGCCCTTCTACAGATTGAGGATGGTGAGATAAACTCAAGTAACCAGATCATTGGACATACTAAATAAGTTTGTTATTACATGAGCACATAATATGTTAAATTTGTTTTGCATATAAATGTATATAAATGGTAGCTACAGTTTTTAATATATTAATCTTCCATCTGTATAATAAAAATATACTTAAGACTGTTAATATTTTTAATTCAGTAATACTAACTGTGATTTTTGTTTCTTTCTTCTTAGGGACTTCATGGTTCCCTTTAAGTGAAAATATTCTCATAATTGTTTTCCCATTTCTGACTTTACTTCTCTTCTGGGCACAGTTTGCTGTTTTAAGTAAGTGTTTACCTCTAATTTTCATTTATATTTTAGTGATAAAACTTTTATTTCTACGAGTCCTGAAGTGAAATGCTATGTAATTCAGTTGCATTAGGAAAAGACAAATTGTGATAAATAAGAATATGTACATGGTTTGAATAGTAAGATTCTTCATGAATTATATAATATCCCTGATATATTGCTACTGTTGAATTCATAAGAAAATAATTTCTTGTATTTTTAAGAAAATCTTTTTTAAGAGAATGCTGTAAATACTGTTTAGACCATCTAAAACTCCTGTAGTACTGTCTTATTAACAAATGCAATTTAATTGGTGAATAGAAAATTGCAGGCAAAGTGATATGAAGACAGAATCCAAGGCTCTGGGGCCCAGGAAAGTCCCTTGTTTCTCGATTGGTACCATCATTCAGTGTTTTATTTCCTGAAGCATCCAAGGCAAGCTGTACTTTGTTATCTTGCTTTGGCAGCCATGTAACTAAATCTGTAAGGGTGAAACTCGATGCTGTATCGTGTGTGTGTGTGTGTGTGTGTGTGTGTGTGTGTGTGTGTGTGTGTGTAGTTTGAAATTGTCAACACAAGCTGATATAGTTTGAATGTAAAATGTGCTCCATAGACTCATATATTTGAACACTTGGTTCCCAGTTTAGGCAATTTTTTTAGTAGGTTGTGGCACATTTACATGGGTTGTGGCTCTTACTTGGACAAAGTGGACTAGGGCAGCTGTTATAAGCTAGTCCAACTTTCTGGTTCACCTTTGCTTCCAGCTCTGTCTAGAAGTGAAGAAGTGACCTCACTCTCCACTCACAGCCAATGAGAGCTGCCCCCACAGCCACCCTTCTCTTGCAAGATAGAGTGTCCCCTCTGTCCAAGAGCCAAAATGAATCCTCCTTCCCATAAGTTGCTTCATGTCAAGCATAGATAGAAATAGAAAAATGGTTTTTTTCTAAGACTGACTCATTTTATATGATGAACTCTAGTTGTGTATATCTACTTTTCTGAAGATGACATAATTCCATTTCTCCTTATGGAGAACTCTGTTATAAGAACTCTATCACATACATAGGCCCCATTTCCTAATCCATTCATCTGCTAATGGACATGACCTTTGTAACACTGTGATAGACACAGACACGCAAGTACCTCTGTGAATAGTTGATGCAGGGTCTAGTAGGCATGTATTTTAAAGAGATGGATGGAACTTTGTTTATATGGTGTATGCTGTTACATCTGTGAAGATTCTCCAAGGTCATATGCATTGTGGCTGGACCTAGTTATAATCCACCAGCAGCATTCTGTTTTCCTAGCAACAGCATTGGAACTGGAGTAAATGGAAACTCCATGTTGATTTTTATTTGAATTTCCCTGCAATGTTGAAGATCATACCATATATTTCTAGTCTTTTATATTTCACCTTTGGGGAACCACATATCTCATTAGTTCCTTAGTGATTGGGATGCTTGAATTCTTCTTGTTTCATGATCAAGTTCCTCCAATATTGTATATATAACTTAAAGAAGTCTTTCTCCCATACTTAGATCTTTCTCCCATACTTAGACTGTCTTCTAATTCAATTGTTTCATTTATTATATAAAAGGAATTCTGATATTCTTCTTTTTTATTTTATTTTTTATTAAAAGAAAACAATCTTTCTCATTATACATACCAATCCAAGTTCCCACTCCTTTCCCTCCAACCTTTCCCTCCACATACTCCACCCCCACCCAACCATCATCCACTCTACAGAAAAGGTAAAGTCCACTGCCTTAGGGAAGGTCCAAGGCCCTCCCTACTATATCTAGGCTGTGAAAGGTATCCATTCAAAGAGAATAAGTTCTCTAAAAGTCAGCACAAGCAGTAGAAACAAATCCTGGTGCTACTACCAGTGGTCCCTCAGTCTACCCAACCATGCAACTGTCAAGCATATTAAGAGCAACAAGTATGGACCTATGCATGTTCCTTCCATGTCTGGCTGGAGTTGGTGAGCTCCCATTAGCTCAGGTAGACTGTTTCAGTGGGTGAAACATCATGGCCTTGACCTCTTTGCTCATATTTCCACCCCTCCCACTCTTCATTTGGACTTTGGGAGCTCAGTCCAGTGCTGCAAGGCAGGTCTCTGCCTCTGTTTACATCAGTTGCTAGATGAAGGCTCTATAGTGGTATTTAAGATATTCATCAATCTGACTACCGGGCAAGGTCAATTTGGGCACCCTCTCTTCTATAGCTTAAGGTTTAAGTTTGGGTCATCCTTGGGAATTACTCTAGAGCCAGCTTTTTTTTTTTGCTAGCTCCATAATGGCTCCCTCAATCAAAATATCTCTTTCCTTGCTCTCATCTTTGTCTGTTGCAAAAAAGGTGTCCACTTGTTCATCCTTGCTGCCAAGCTAGCTTAGCCCTGAAATAACCACACAGAAACTATATTCATTAAATTACTGCTTGGCCCATTAGCTCTAACTTCTTATTGGCTAACTCTTACATCTTAGTTTAGCCCATTTCTATTAATCTGTGTATTGCCATGTGGCAGTGACTTACTGGCTAAGCTTCTGCAGCATGCCTTACTCTGGCAGCAGATCCATGGTATCTCTTTGACTGTGCTTTCATCCTCCCAGAATTCAGTTCCATTTTCCCCACCTACCTAAGTCCTTCCCTATCAACAGGCCAAGCATTTTTTTATTTATTAATGGTAATCACAACACACAGACAGGAGGACCTCCTACATCATCTGTCCTTCCTCCATCTAAACTATCCCATTCCCTCAAGTTCTCCTCCCTGTAGTGAAGAGGTGAGCAGGCCTGCTTCCTGTCCTGCCCAGTACCCCACAGCTGGCATACCCCAAAGAAAATCACACAGGGATCTCTATAAGTTATAAAACTGATTGGCCCATTAGCTCAGGCTTCTTATTAGTTCTTATAACATATATTAACCCATTATTCTGATCTATGCTAGCCATATGGCTTGGTACCTTTTTCAGCCGTCAGCTCACATGTTGCTTCTTCGGTGGTCTGGGCAGGAATGGCGGAGGGAGCTTCCTGTTTCCAAGAATTCTCCTGATCTCATTGCATCACCTCTACTTCTTGTCTGGTTTTCCGGTCTATACTTCCTGCCTGGCCAATCAGCATTTATTTAAAATGCGATTGACAGATTACAGACAATTCACCTGCACCATTTCCCCCTCTTTTTTGTTAACAAAGGAAATTATCTATAGTCCATTTTGGGGGGAATGTGGGCGTAGTATCCCAGGCTACTTCCATCTGGTTGAGGGCGCTGATAATCTTATGGGGATGTAAAGAAAATTTAGAATTATCATCAAGTCCTGACTGGAGCATCCTGTGAGACCTGATCATCTCAGGCAGCATCTTGAATCCATTCTGGATGTAGAACTCAGACATCTGGACCATCTGTTCCTACCGTTTCTCAGGTGGTCTTCCTTGATCAAACTGGATTTTTCTTAACTCAGAATAAATCCAGAGTCTCTTGTTTTCTGTGGAAACAAAAGCAAAATCTCTTCTCCAAAGAAATATAATTTTTGACTTAAATTTTGAAGCCAAGGTATTTTCAAAATACCTATCTTGGATTAATTCAGCAGCATTTATAAGCAAATATCTTTTAGCAGCTGTTGCTCCTTCCTTGGCATTCAAGCAATTCAAAGAGAACATAATAACATACAGTATCAAGATTCTCTGTGTATTTTCCATCTTTATGTGGCATTATTTAAACCTCTATTTCTATTATTTTTACTCTTTCTTTTTGAGGCAGGTTCTCTCTATATCTTTGTCCTGGAATAACTCTGTAGAAAAGGCTGTTCTTGAACTCATAGAGATCCACTTGTCTCGGCATCTCAAGTGCTGGGATTAAAGGTGTGTGCTACCACACCTTAAAGTCACAGAGGTCAATCTACCTCTGCCTCCCAAGTGTTGGGATTAAAGGTGTGTACCACCACACCCAACTACCCTCTTTCTTCCTTTTTTACTTTTAAGAACTTAAACCTTTAGCCTGTATATATTTTTAACACACTGTAAACCATTTAGAGGTTTTCTTCATCTTTGAATCTCTCTTTACTGTATATTTTTCTTTTTCTAATCACATGATCCTTTATGGAGAGGATAAAGTCATGGCTTTGACAGCAAGATCCAGCCCATTCCTTAGTTTTCTAACCTCATGGCAGAGGTACCGCTGGAGCCATTTTTATTGCCACAACTCTGTGGCATTTCAAGGTCCCTACCAGCAAGCAAGCTACAGCATTCTGCTCACAGACCACACTCAGTTGGACTGCTTGCCTGAAAGAGTCAGAATTTGCCCTGGCAGGACAGCCCAGAAAGCAGGCATTTTATAACAGCACAGGTTTTTTCCTGCTACGGCTGAAAACTGAAAAGCGTGTGGTCAGCTTTTCATTAACACCATTTAAGTATTTTGCAGCAGGACCTCTTAAAAGAGCTGCAAGGTTTTATAGCTAAAGCTGAGTCAGGAAGCCTCTCTTAGATGAGAGTGCTTGCTTGCCTCTAGCAAGCAGAACAGAACTGGGAAATTGCTGCTACTAAGAAAGCATGCTTTATTCTACTCTTTCCCCACCTTTCTCAGGCTTTATGTGAATGCAGTTATCCATGTGGGCACCATCTGTAACATGGGGTCCGGCATGTTGGGGTTTCTGTCCCACCTGGTTCCCCAAGAAGCCGGCAAGCCCCCAAAGAAAATCACACAGAGATCTCTATAAGTTATAAAACTGATTGACCCTTTAGCTCAGGCTTCTTGTTAACTCTTATAGTTTATATTGACCCATTATTCTGATCTATGTTAGTCATATGGCTTGGTACCTTTTTTAGCTGTCAGCTCACATGCTGCTTCTTCAGTGATCTGGGGAGGAATGGCAGAGGGAGCTTCCTGCTTCCCAGAATATTCCTGTTTTCATCGCCCTGCCTCTACTTCCTGTCTGGTTGACCCACCTATACCTCCTTCCTGGCCAATCAGCATTTATTTAAAACATGATTGACAGATTACAGAAA